GATCGGGATCGGCGGTAGCTGACAATGGAAACTTTAGAACCTTAACTACATCACACATTAATTGTTTTTAGCAATTTTTAATAAATTCCATTTTAACTTTTAGTTTAAAATTATTCTAGAAACATTTCACAACAAAAACTTCGTTCTTATCTAGCTTTTATTCTTCTCGGATGTAGAAAATGAAGTAACGGTAGCCAACTACAGCTTTCCACACTCAATATTGACCCAACGATTCATCATACAAATACATGACAATATGTGACGTCACCGTTTGAAAATCTCAAAAATTAGGCATCTTCCCCCAAATCACTCTACACATTGCAGTCAAAACCAGTTTTTAGTCAGGATGCATTTTAACTAGTTAAAACTAGCTTATAATGGATGTCTTTGTTAAAATCCGTTTTGTGTAGTTACAACTAGAATTTACTGCTAGTCAAAAATGAATTTGAGTTAAAACTAGTTTTAACTAGACAAAACGGGTTTAAACAAAGACACTCAGTATAAACTAGTTTCAACTAGTTAAAACGCGTTTTAACTAAAAACGGGTTTTGACTGTAACATATATATATGTCATTTATGATAATATAGTATAGGCCAGACTATATATATATATATATAGTCTGCCCTATACTATAAGCATTATATATGACATTTTAAAATATTTTCCCCTTCATCCAAAAAAACAAGCAGCTTCTATTTTCACAATCTGCATCTAAAATTTGCTATATCACTGCTTTTGTAATTTATACTTATAAATATTCAAATTAGTTAGATAAAACATGTTTAGGTGCTACATTAAATCCTTACTAAATATTTTCAAAAATAACACAAAATTAATTTTATATAATTTTTGAATAAATTTTTTATTTTACTCATTTTTATTTTACTTAAAAAAAATAAAACATTAGAATTAACAATTTTAACGAATCAAACTTACATACGTACAGTATGTTAAATGGTTGTGAATAAATTTTTACTTTTTCAAGTTCATTAATTAACAAACATTAGAAATGAATCAAGTGAAAATGTATCTGCAGAAATCTCCTATAAATTAAATCAAACAAATGATTTAAATAAAAAAATTTATATATCATATTTTGATAATTATAATGACTTTAAATGAATGAATTTTGTACTTTGTATTTCTGTTTTCAGTAAACATTTTGTTAAATAATTTCCCGAAACATTATTTTCTATTGTAATAAGTCTCAGTTATAATTAAAATTCAATAAAGGAGAAATTATATTTGTTAAATAAATTGTTTAAAATAATTAAAATCAAAAAATATCACAAAAAATATTTTTAGCTAAATTGATCAATTTTTCTTTTACTTTTTGATGGGTTTTTGTTAAAAATTTTAATTTTTCATTCACTATTTCAATATAATTAAAACAAAATATTCTTATTTCTTGTTTTATAAACTAAAAATAAATGTATTGTTCTTATGTGTAATATTTCAAAAATAAAGAAAAAAAATTGCTTTTCTTCGTGTGAAGAAATACAAAAACGCTTTATTTTTCAGTATGCATAAAATATTTCCATACACAAGCAGACTTAAATTAGTTAATAATTTAATAATGTAGATATTTTATACAATGTGTTTTAATTAATGGAAAATAAAATTCAATTTTATAAATAATAGAGGAATATGATTAATATGAATGAAATTAAAGAATAAAAAAATAGAAATAAACAAATTAGAAATATCGGAGCTTTACTCTATAACGAAAAAGCTAACGTGGATAAATAATGTGAACTAAATGGTTAAAACAACACTTACGCCTTTTGATTATCCGGCATTGTTTAGAATATTTCCTAAATTTTACAATAAACACATCTCTTCCCGTTTCCCCATTATGATGTGTATGAAAGATTTTCGTCTGACAAACCTTAACCGATAATAAAATTTGCCATGTGCTGTTTAATTGGTCGTCGACACCACTCGATCCATAAGAGCAGCCAATGGCACGAGCCGTAACGGAAATTAAAATACAATCAGTTTAGACCAGTGTAGACCTGTCAGCATTTGCCATTCGTTAAATAACCAAAACAATTTCGTATGGATTAAGAAATTTCAATTATTTCGTTGTATGATAAATTAATTATGTTAAAATTTATTAAATAAAATTTATTTATGTAACCGATTACAATATTTTAGATACGATAGAGTTTACCGGGAAAGTTTTAGAAAGTTTTCGCGATACGAAAATAACTTAGAAGAGTATCGATAACTACGGCGTCAATGCAGTAAAACACCCGGATATTTTCAAGATGGCGTCACTCAGGATCGGCTGTAGGAAGTCAGAACGCCCACTCTAGAAAGAAATCGTGAACGTAACAGTTAGAAAAATGAGTGAACAAAGTGAAGGAAATAATTCTCAGGTTCCTCGGTCAGTTACGACGGCCGACGTTAGTGTATTAGTAGCTTATATTAAAAGAATTGTTCCTGTTCTCGAAGATGAAGATGTTTTGCATCCATCTTTGGTTTCGGCTCTATCAGAAAAGTCTAATCAAGAATGTTTAAAACGATTTATAAGTGATCCACAAGTCAGATCTCTACTCATACAAAAGTCATCAAGTAAAGGTAAAAAAAAAAACTGAATTAAAAAATTTCGATACGATGCGTCAATGTTGCATCATCTATATTACTCATCATTGTATTGAATTTTATATGTTGTTAGGGGTGCAGATTTAAATTATTTAACGAATTTTTCGTTATTTATTCAATAAGTGAAATCATTCTGCATTATTGCTAAATTTACAAATTTTCTATTAAACTCATTTTTTTTTGTATGTAAACTTGTTTAACAATGTTTTAATTGATAAAGTATACTGTTTAGTATACAAATATTTAACGGTTTGTATATATACTTAAGGCTTTATTGATCTTGCTAAGTAACATGAAATGGTTAAATGGAAACAGATTTCCAACAGACATATGAAAAAGAAATGTTACCTGTGTTATAGAGCAGGGCTTCTTAGACAATAGGTTGTGACCCCATCTGGGGTTGCAACTATATGCAAAGGATGTTGCTTCATTCTGAAATGTTCCTCTGTCAGAGTTACCAAAAATAATTAAGTAAACCATTTTGATTTAAACTATTTAAAAGTAATGTTGTGGATACATAATGGAGAAATAAAGCATTGTTAGATCTTTTCCCATTGTTATCTGCTGCTATTCAAAGGTTGCCAGTGGCTGAGCAGTTTCGTTCCCTGAACACTGGTAGCTGATTGCAGAGACAGAGTTTTAATTAAACGACATTTATCAACAGAACTGCCTATAGACATTGGCTGGCTGAACCGCGGTTTAAAATGCGTTGCAAAGACGACGATCGTCTATTTCTGACCGTTGTCTAAACGAACTTTGGCAAAACATCGGCTCTTACTTACTTCGCTATTACTCCACCGTTTTAGGAGTCGTTCAGCCAATCGGGTTATTCGTTTGTGATGTCAGAAATGGTGGCCAGCTATATTCCTAAAGCTTCCAGAAATAAAATCTTAAGGCTGTCAAAACCATTGTTCGGCAATTAATGGCAATCCTTTTCCATTTTGATATTTAATTTCATCGCCAATACGGTTTAAAATACGAACAAATCCATATTTAGAAAATTTATACCGAATTCGAAATTTGTCTTTGGAATAGATTTTTAAGGATTTCAACATCTTATTACTATTGAAATGAATAAATATTTATCTATAAACAGATTTCTGTAATTATTAAAATTGTCTCGTTTGTTTAACAGTAAAATGACTCCGAAATGCATTAACGTTTTATAACCGACACAATACTCGAATTGTAAATAAATGCATCTGATTTAAATTAGTTGAAGTTTTAAGTTTTCACCAATTTGAATATTGAAATTGGAACATTTAAAACAAATGTAAAGTATTTAATTTTGTTGTTTTTGCTCCAAGCAATTAATTAATGAATAATTTTGTTGATTCGTACTGTTTACAGCATTTATAAAAGGAACGATATCTGTTTTTATCTAAACTTTTCCATGAACAAAGCTACCACTCAAATTGAAAAGCCCTCTAAACCTGCTATCGTGGGAGTCTAGAAAGTAGGTCAAAAACTTGTTTTTAATCGCTGTCTGCATTGTGGCAGGCGAGAAACGCCATCTCTGCAATGAAATTTTTCTGAACAGCGGTCTACCTGATCTGTAAACCCGCTGTCGGCCTCTAAACGTTCTCTCTGCAATCGGCCCTGGGAGTTTGATTGTGGATTCGCACCTCAGTGAGATGGGAGGCCATGTGGAGATTTTCAGGTTTTCTCCACATTTGTAACACTCGAATAGAGGCCAGTTACCCTTAAAAAGACCTCCCAGAAGGTGTTCCTTAAAGCAGATTGCCCAAATGTTGCATTGCCATAACTTAACAAAACAAACAAACAAACAAAGCTACTATTCAATTGAATCTACTCACTCATTCAGTGTCATTCTACTATTTACAAACCCTGGCAAAAAGTATTTGAACAAGATGTAATAAAATTAAATCATTTAGTTTGAACTCATTTTATAAGAAAAAAATTGAAATGTTCAAAACAAAAACATACATTTTTATTCACTGGGTTATTAAGTATTAATCATTTTAATTTCAAATGAACAAACTAATCCATTTTCCCAAAAAAGAATTTTTACATAAAGCAGTATTGGAATAAAGTTTTTGAACATCAACAATAATACAGTAGAGCATTGATTATCCGAATCAATTGGGGACTGGGGTTGTTCGGAAGATCGATCTTTCGGATAACTGATTATGTACGAAAAAATATATTAATTTATCCCATCTTGACATTTTTCTCCGTTGCGTGTCGCTTCACATTGAATTTTCTTCGATGTTAAGCCTAACGAAGACTATTGTATCGTTAAAAATTATTTTTTTATTTTGTATGAGCAAAATAAATATATTGAAAAATATAAAAACAAAAAAAATTATACTTCAGAAGTTAATTTAGTATCAAAAACGTAAAATATTTGAGTAGCCCAAGACACAGCCAAAGATTGCAGTGCCACAGCACTGGCAAAAATTTAAATTTGCCAACTGGAATTCTTTCGAAGATTGACATTCGGATAATCAATGCTCTACTGTAAAAGGATTACATGAAATAAAAAAGTATGCAATATTACAATAAATAAAATAACAGACAGTGCAGGAAGTGTTCAAGATAGGAATGTATTATTCAAACCATTTTGTTTTGTTACTTTTATGTATACAGTAAAACCTTGTTATTTTGGTATCAGATAATTCAAAGTCAAGTCTTGTCCATGACCAAGAGTATAGGATTTTGCATATATTTTAGTTCAGATAATTTAAAATATGCATACAATGAAATTCAAAGTTATCTGGTTTGGTGATACGCAAAAATACTGTTTAATTTAAAATTTTCTATCATTTTACGTGTTTATAAGAAAATTTTCATGCCGAAGTGGTGGTTGTGGTTTCACTAACTATGCATTGTTGATTTATTGGACATACATTCAAGATCATTCAGACATTTTACATATTGCCAATAAATAGAGAATTTTTTTATTTTTATGGAAGAAATCTGTTTGGAATTAATTATTTTGGACATTTTTAAAAACTGCTTGTCATAGTTTGTTTTAAATATTTTCGTTCTTGTTTCCTGATGATAACAGTTTGTACAACCCCAACAAAAAAACCTTGGATAGCATGTTATTTTAATCAATCTCTAGCTAATTCTTAAATAATATCAAATATCAAACAGAAAAATTTTATACACTTATAATTATTTAAGTAAACTTTTATTATAACTGAGAATTTTACATAAAAAATTATCATGTTGATAATACATGAAAAAAAAAGTTGCAGTTGAAAAAAGCATATGAGACAAATAAAAGCTCAGACAGAGACATTTCTGACAAATAATACCTCAGACATTACATTAAATGACTGGTCTTATATCTGTAAATGAGCTGATGTGATATTTACATATTTTTCTTATTAAAATTATTGAAATGTATTTGTTTAATGAAAATGGCACCTGGTAAGACTGTAAGTGTTGATATATGTGAAGTAATTATCATTCTCTATAGATAGGGCAAATCCTTAAGAAAAATTGCAAAGGAATTAAAAATTGGTAATTTCACAGTATGGGGTATTGTCTCAAAAATCTGGAAACTGATAAAATTTATCCAGAAAAATCAACTGGAAGGCCATCAACCATAACAAAGACTGATCACATGCAATAGAAATACCCAATGATTGCTTAAATGATTGTGCTACAATATAGCTAATTTAAATAATACAAAGTAATTTGTAACTAGAGGGAGGCATTAGGTGCCATATCTTAACTAAATTAATAATTTTAATTTTAATAATTTATTAAATAATAGGTGATTGTTGGATGTTTCTATATACAGTTGAGTCAACATAAGTCATAATAGGTATAACTAGACACTGTTGTTTAAGTAGGCAGTTTTCTGTAGTACCAGCTGACTTACATAAGCATTAATATAAAAAAACTCTGGTTTACTTGACATTGTTTAAGAAACTTTTCCTTGGGTCTTCATCATGGCTGTCTTGAAAATGCCAGAGAAAGTCACCATACAAAGATATTGAAGATGCTCTGGTACGTCGGCTAAAGCAAATTCATTCATTGAATCTTCCTGTTATGGGGCCAATATTGAAACAAAAACAATGGGAATCGCTGAGGTACTTGGAGTAGAAACCAACTTTAGTGCCAGTAATGGATAGTCAGAGAGATATATTGCATGTACTGTATAAAGCACTACTGCATTTTTCTAATTATAGTTTGGTTATTTTTTAACTTTGTTTTAGTCCTCATATCAAATAACTACCCATTTCCACTTCCCCTTGGAATGTCGACTTATGCGGACTCGACTGTATACTCATCAGGATTTGCGATGTTTGTTATATTTATATATATACCTATGTAAAATAATTTTTAAAAAATTGAGGGGCATCACTCAGTGAAATTAGTGAATAAATGGAATAAAATTACTGGAAAGGAAGTTACAAAAAAGACACTTGTATCCATCTGCACAAACTTGGCTACAGCTTCTACCAGATAAGAAAATATTATTTTTTACTTAACGATTGTGACAGGTGACATTTCTTAGACTAAGGCAAAACCACTTCTCACAAAATTTTGTTCCTATTCATGAAATTTCTAAAAGATGACAGTCAGTAACAGAAATTATGATTCTTTTTAAACAAATAAAAAACTGATTGAAATGGGCCAAAGAGTATCAATGCTAGACACAACAACAGTGGAAGCAGATTTGAGATTAGTGATGAGGCAAAGTTTGAAGTCTGCATTGGAGACAATAGAAAAAAGTCATTAGAAAGCAACAGACATTCCATTATGACTCTACAGTGCACTGTAAAATTCCCAGCAAGTGTTATAGTGTAGGGATGCATATCAGCTCAAGGTATGGAAAATTGCATTTCATTGAGGGATCAGTAAATGCGGCAAAATACGCTGGTGGAAATTGAAAGTGTTACACCCACCCAATATTGTCGAAGACATATGAAATTGGGACAAAAGAATCTCTTTTTGAAGGGTATTGAATGATCAAAAATTAAATGAGGTACATACAGTGGTATGGAAATTATGGGGAGATTTGTTATGCAAAATTGTTATAGTGTTTAGTTTATAACTTGTAAACTGTGTTATGGAAATTGACTTTTTTGGTCCACATGTTGTTGACGATTAGCTATGCCATATTGATGAGTGAGAACTCTGTACACCCAAATGTCTGACTTTGAAAGAGGTTGGATAATTGGCATGTCAGAAATGGGAGCATCATATCGTGAAATTGCCCAAAGGACTGGCCATAGTGCAATGTCAGTACAAAGAGTGGCCACATGGTGGATGCAGGAAGGGTCCAGTACTCGCAGACCTGGCATAGGTCCACGCAGAAGGATGATGCTATGTGAAGACCACCATATTGTGCTGATTGCAGTATCAAAACACTTACTAAAACACCTTTTCTTGCAGCCGACGCTTTATTATAACGACTTTCAAACGTTTTCGATCTTATTAAAAGACCTTTCTCAAGAAAATAAAATTAACTAAGTAACAAAATAAACGACATAATCGTAAATCGAACGCTTAGTACGAATAACTGTTTTTTAAATCTTTCGAACTCGCTTATAATCCGTTGTACATGACGTCATTGTAACCGGAAATATAAAAAGATTACGTAACTATCTAAATATAAATACTTAAAGATGCCATCTCCCTACATCGTTCAAAAAATATAATTTGAGATACATATTCACTATTTTCTTCAATTATTAATTTTATATTAAGCTAGAGGACCATGCTGCTGATATTTTAGTCGATTCCCGGAAGTTGATTGCAAGGCCTTTATGCTTTGCCTTACAAATCTGCCAGGCTTCCGCGTAATGTCGGTGTCTCCTGTCTCGAACTATCTGCATTAGTCTTGCTTGGTCCCATTCAACATTGACGTCTTGCTGGTCCGCTAGAACGTAGGTGGCTAGCGCAGTGCAAGGTTGTTTTTTTCTTATATTTGCTTGATGTTCTGCTAACCTGTCTTTGATACTTCTTCCTGTTGCCCCTACATATATTAATTTACTTCGTCGCCTTGAGTCCGAAACTGGAATTTTATATACCCCGGGGAGTGTTCTTCTGTCCACTAAATCTTTATCAGAT